GGCGGTTCGATGGTGGTTGGAAGAATTTTGATTTATTGTGTAAGAGTGATAAACTTCGGGTGTGTGGCATTAATTTATCTGCATATGTCCATTTGTTCGATTCACTTTATCCCCAACACAATTTATTCTAAGAAATATTTGTTTTAATTGCATGTACACCAAGCAACATGTCTTAATGATTCATTTCATAAACATTCCGGAGTAATTTATTTGCTTTCTGACTTGTCTTGTTTTTGTTAAAATGGATGATTTCATTTAATAAGTTTAATGTAGTTATTTGATGTTGTCAAATTAAATTAGTTGAAACTATTTGGCCAATGTCCATTTCAAGTTACTTTATCGACACAACTAAATAATAGTTGATACTGTGTATATCGTCTCAGAATAAAAAGGACAATGCTAAGGAACACGTTTTAACCTTTAAACTCATTTGGACTGAATGATCCTCATTCAAAACATCCTTCATTAATACGAGTCTCATAACGGAAGGTGATTTTATCATTTGAAACATGTTCAATGCGTCTATAGCCAGTAATATTTTGTTACAATTTGAGCGATGCAAATGGGCCTATGATCATCAAAATCGGCTGTTATTTCATCAAAAATTAAATTTCTATCTGCACAATGCACACATTTTACAAAAATCATGGATTTCATTAATTTTAAATAGCCTTTTATTTATCTAGAATGTAAATATTTAATATAAAAAGATAGAGCACTTTTGGATTTGCGCAAGTTTTTGAAATGTTCCTTGGGATGAATTAAAACAAAAACTCGAAACGAATGTTACTATTAGCCCTCTTAAATTATAATTATGAAATCTAACAGAAAAATAAATTATTAATAATTACTAACTGATAATTAAAACTAAACATTTTTTGTATTCCATATTTTAGAAGATTCTTTAAGTCCAGATATTTTGTTTAAAACCACTGAATGCATTGGCGCTTAATTCATAATATTGCCTTGCATGATAATGCGTACTGCTGCTGAAATATTATGCGTAAGTGATTATTCAATTATTTAAAATGCTTTTCTCTTCACTTAATAGGCATGGCACTATTAGTAAAATGTATCCATTGTTTAGTTTTACACCTTTCGTATCTTCTGATGAACTGTAGTTTTATCTAAACGTGAAATTGTATTAAGTTGAGTCAAAATTAGCTGTAGACTATTGATTGTGTACACCGATAAGGTTTTGTTCATATGAATTCTTAATTTACCTTAATTGACTTGCATTATCAGATCAATTGTGAGTCGACCCACATAGAGACACACACGCACAATTAATCCCATTAAAAGGTGGAAGTTTTGCCCTTGAATCTACAGTGCGTCAGATGGTATATTGTAAATTCACTTCTAATAGCTACATGGAATAGTAGTAGGCATATGATAATTACTCAATTTTGCTCCAATTTCAGACGGATTCTTCATCCCAAATTGAAAACTCGTTCATTGATCTCGAGAACGCGAACGACAACATTCGTCGTCAAGCACTCGATGATATTGAAAATCTAAGCACAGGGGTTCCAAAAGAACAGTTCATCAGCATTTACCGAAGACTTCTCAGCTATTTTAAGATATGTCCCACAAATTCCTCTTTTGCTGTACAACTTGGAAAGCGTATTTGGGAAAAGTTAACAGAAAAAGGATCATATTTTAACTGCAATGAATTGCTGAAAATGTTTTTGGATATCATTGGTTTCAAAATAGAAAGGGCTGACATTTCTTCACTCAGCGAATATCTAGTGGTAAGTCCAGATTGTTATATATTTGTCTGAGAAATTGACTAATTGTTAAACTGTCATGACAACGTTGTAAATTACCCACTTCTCAACCCCTCACCCTCACCTCGATTTCCTAAGTTGAAGTGCTTATAACCTCTTTTCCATGTAGATGGCAGGAGACGCTATTTCCAATGCTGGGCATCTGTTGAAAAATAGCCGATTTATGGAGTTGTTTCTGCAATATTTGCTACTAAATTACTTGTCTTTACCTCTCAATATCAGGTCTATGCTAACGAGAATAATATATATTATTGCGTCTTCAAGTTTACAATACAGCGGAGCTATAATAGACTCACTTCCTGTCGCATTACAACTTACTCACCTTGGGTCAAGCAAGCTTCGCGAAGCCATTTTCCGTCTGTTACGAAGAGTTTA